GATTTCCAAAATCGATGATTATCACGAGTCAATTTTGGAGCAATGATTGGCAAGGTTGAAGAGGATATTGATGATGAACTGACGAGATTGATTATTTCAGACGTAGGTCTGAAATTTGTGTTTCTGTCAGTTTTGTTAAGGAGAGAGGAAAAAGAAGAGGAATCAGCCATGTGACGTTGGTCGATGGCTCTAATACCAAATTAGAGATGAAAATCAACTGAAACTAGCTAAAGCAGCTGGTAAAGTGCAGAGAAGCAAACAGTTAACTAATAAAGTGCAAAGAAGGAAAAAGGGAAAGTTTGAGAGAGAGAGCAATATGTTTCTTATTTTTATTAGCTTTAAATGATAGCTACAGTGCTGTATTTATACAAGCTGTATTAACAAACTAATAACAAACTGTTAACAAACTTAAACCGTATTAAAAAACTTAAACATGTGATTAACAGAATAACAAAATCAGTTATCAGTTTAACAAACTTTTCAACATCCTAACATCCATCTGTAAGTTGAACCTCTAAGCTTCAGCATTTTCTCATCCTAACAGAGAGAGAGATATTTGATGAAATTGTCAATGGAACAATTATGCAACATTTTCAGAATATGAAAAATCGTTGATGACAATTGTAGAATTGATAATTTGGTATATATAGGGACGTTTATATATATATATAACTACGAAATGAGATTCCTATACTTAATTGTACCTTTATTTAATTATGGCAGCTAATCTTGATTACTTCCTTTTGGAGGATGCAGATTAACGAAGGAGGAATCTTGATATATATACAACAACGAGCGTTTATAAATCCCATTATCACTAGATGGATTAATGTGGGGGTCAAATTTTATCTGATTAATATTTTATAATTAGAATATTCTTGCATTGAAAGAAAAAGAAAAATTGCTCTGATAGTCAAAATTAAGAAGAATTTAAAACATATTTTTACCAAAAGAGGGCTTCAGAAAAAGATACTTGGAATTTTAGAATAAGGTGGATTGCAGTTGAATCAATGAGTTAAAAAACTGCATTTGTTGTTCACCATCTAGTTAAACTACAACCAAGTGTGTAAAAACTGATAATCACCACTCCCTTTTAGTGTTGGGTGACCCAAAATGACACTTGCAATGACATGTCAAAGTATTAACCAAATTTAACATCCAGAGAATAGGATCTCTTCTTCAATTAATCCACAAAACAACTATTATGTAAAGCAATGATGAAGATTACTTAAAGGCGGCACGAAAAGAGCTTCAAGAATGACGAAATGGTGAGTGGCTGAAGTCACAAACTCGAAGGCCAGAGCTTGTCTTATAATCAGGTGAGAACGAAGAACATCAGAAAAGGATTTTAGCTGAGAATGAAGAATCGAAGAGAAAAGCTGAACGAGATGTGAAGAACGAAAAGGGAAAAATAATTTAGGGTTGAGAGAATGAATATTTTAAAGGAAAGTCAACAAAGTCAATTAGGGATTTTTTTTATTTCAATATTGTATATTATAAACCGGTTTTTTAAATAGTGAGTTTGTGGGAAACTTTTGCCTTAATGAAAAATGGGTGCGAAACTTTTGCCTTAGTGAAATACCGAGTAAGCAAATGCTTTAGAGTTCTTTTATTTTTGTTTTTTCAACTTAATGCTTGACAGTTAAAAATTGTCAATGATTGAGACTACAACTGTCAAGAACAAAATTCGTAAAATTTAGTTTTTACCAAATTCTTGATAGTTAATAACGGTCAAGAATCATCCAAAATATCAGGGAATATTGTTCAAAAATTGTCAAGAAAATATATCAAATTATTCTGTCAAGGATGAGATTTTTTCTAATAGTGGATTTAAAAGACAACTCCACCTAACTATTCTGTAGCTAATATATTTATTTTTTATATATTAAAGATTTCATGTCAAGACATAAAAATGGAATCTTATTTCATCACTCTTTCCATTCCATTCCACATGCCTTTATAATTTTATCCATTTCATCTTAACATTATAACATGACAATAGTGGTTAACTTTAATCTCGTTTTTCTTAACTTTTAGATTAAAATATATTACAATCCAAGATTAATTCTCATTCATTTCTAGAAATCAAACATTGTCTATTACTCTCAACTTTGAATAAAATGAAAGAATATAAATCTTAAAAATAGAAAAAAGAAATTATAATGATAAAAGGGGTTGCTAATGGGAGTGTGTTCCATAATTGTAAAACAATTGTATTATAAGGGAATGTTTTTTAATTGTTCTCTCTCACCAATATTGAAGTATTATTTGTCACTTTCTAATTTTATACAGGCCGACCTCTGATCAGATTCGTCATCTATTTGAGTCATGGATGCATGTATCATTTAAACATACTCTTTTTAATTAAACATATTCTATTATTAAATAATAACCCCACTTAATTAATTATTAACGCCAGCCATAACTACAGTCTAGTCTTTCTTTAATCTTTTAGTTAGAATTATTAAGAGAATATTGAAGCACCTCACCACATGAATTCACAGGCATACAGCTAATCTTGATAGGAAAGGTTTCCTAACTTTGGCTGCCAATCTTGATAGCTTCCAAAAAAATTTCTGTTAGTATAGTAATAATTAAATGATTAATAAATTGAAAATAAATAAGTAATGGAATATCGTCGGCAACAAATGTCCAAGAACACTCGCTGCTGGCATAGTGGCACTTGATGAATAGGCGGAGAAGACAACGATTTTATGCTGCTGGCACAGTTGCAGTTGCACTTTTTATACATTAAATCTTTTTAACCAACTGAACATGAGTCACATGACCCTGGTGCTTGATTATTTGTCCGTACTTAATTTTTTTATTTTAATGTTTGATTATGCACATAAGAAGGGAAGAACATTATGAAGGTGAGCATGTATTGTTAATATATACACTAAAGATGAAGAGTAAGGGAGCGACTAGAGAGATACCGTAGATATTAATACATTCCGGTGGGCTTCGGCAGTAGGAACTCTGGACACTGGTGCTTTCGAGATTGACCAGAGACAACTATCTTTTTTCGAGCAAAATTACTCAGGTTTTGAAGCACTTATTTTTCTTAGTTTTCTTTATGATTTGTTTAAGTTATTTACCTTTCATGTATTTTTGGCTAATTGATGTTCGCTTGGAAGAAATTATTTACCATATATATATATACATGAAATGGAATGATTTTCTAGAATGACTCAAGGCATTGTTAACTTGTCATCCCATCTAAAAACCTAAACAATAGGTCAGAGCTTAACATTATATTAGTCTAATAAACCCCTTTACATGAAATTTGATAATTTTGTCTCAATTTTCTTGATTGAGTTGAATGTAGGGATTCGAACTTTGGTTTTGATACTATGTTAACATTATATTTGTTTAATAAACATTTCCCAGCCAAATATTTAAGAAACTTAGTTTCATTATTTTTTCTAACTGTATAATTAGAATAAGCATGGAAGAGTTAAACTTTTATTTGAAAATTTTTTGTCAAGTACTCCCTATATATTCAACTATATATACATATGTGGTATAGCTAGCTAGCTACTCTTTGGTGGTTAATGAGAAAATTAAAAGCTAGTGAAGGTTGAAAAAATGAAAAGAAAACTAAATGTGTGTTAATTGGTTAATGAGAAAATGGAGAGAAAGTATTAATTAAAAAATGTAAGGTTTTGATTTATTGTTTAATGGATGGGGTTAACAGTTGATATCCCGGTCAAAATTATTTCCTCATCTAAACTTGAGGGATCAAAATATTGTTAAGTAAAAGTGAAAACTTTAATTAAACCCTTTAGTTATTAACAGTAATTGATGCCGTTAATTATATTATTATTTAAAGAAATTTGGGAGTATTTTTTTTAATTTATTTTTAATTCAAAATGACGTGATATACTCTTATTACTTCTATAGATTATAAGGTTAATTAAACCCTCTAAGTTTTTTCCTAAATCTATTAGGTATTGGCAATAATTATGAATCCCTTGACGTCAGGATTCTTTGATTAGGTTTGAGCAAATGTGGCAAAATGACCTTAATTCCCAACTTTGACTTCATCTACAGCAGCCGTCAACACTCATGCACCCACTCACTTTAAATCTATATCCAACGGGCCCCAAAAACCCATTAACCCCAACCTACCCCCCGCGTTAGAATTAAAAAAATAAATTATTAAATTATAAAAAATGAAAAAAAATAAATTAACAACTCTAAAAAAAGATATAATAAATCTTAAATATTAGAAATAAGAAATCTGAAAAAAAAAATATCTGAAAAAATTAAAGATAAAAAATCTAAAAACGAATAAAAAAAAAAAATTTTAAACAAATCTCAAAAATGGTGGTTTTTGCCATCGTGGCTGACATTGGCCTGTAGCTCGATAGTAGAACTTGGCAAAATGTTTTCAGATAATAGCTCCTTTTTTTAAGGTTGTTTAAATATGTTTTTGAAGTATTCATAATTTTTTTGAATCTTTAAATTTTTTATTTTGAATTCTTTTTCATTTAAATACTTGTGATTTTTTATTAAGGTTTTATATTATTTAAGACTTTTTTTTTAATTTTATTTATTTTTTTATTTAGAAATGAGTTATTGACAAATTTTTGAGTAAAATAGTCAAGTTCAAGACATGATTCAGATAAATTGAAATTGCGTTTCGTCAAAGAAAAAAATTAGTCGACTCCCATATCTATGGGGGACTGTGGGTAATGTCTAGAGTTTTTGGGGTGTAATTGAGTTTTTGAGTTTGAAGGGGTGTAAATAATTACCCTTAATTATTATAAAAATTTAGGTACATTTATTCTTTTACTCTTTATCCAGTTAACAATGTACATATCCAAGATCAGTCGAACCAAAGTTCATGCACAATCTGTCTTATATATTCATAAAATAAATTCTAAATACTATTTTATGTAATTAATATTAATATCAAAGACAAAAATGATCTCTGTTTGAAGTTTAATTTTATCATTGTTGTTAGGTTATTAACTAGGATGTATTGCAGTATGAACATGGAGATGAGTTCTTCCCTTAACGAGGATCGGCCCCGTACTTGGCTAATTGACACTAAGGAAGACCAGGAGCCTGATCCTTCAAAGTGTTGTATTTATAGAGTCCCTGAAAGTATTCGTAAAGGAAATGCAGAAGCCTACACTCCTAAAATGTTTTCAATAGGCCCTTTTCACAATGGTAAAGACAAAATAAAAGACATGGAAGAGAAAAAATGGAGATATGTAAAAGACTTATGTGACCGAACAACTCCTGAGAAATTTGACGAAATTTTCAACTTCATCAAAGACCAGGAGCAAACGATTCGAAAGAGTTATTCAGAGGATTGTAAGCTTGAGAGTCGTGCGTATGTAAAGATGATTCTACGTGATGCTATTTTTATCATAGAGGTCCTTATAAAGGATTTTGAGAGAGATGGAAGTGACATTTTGTTACGTATACCAGCGCAAAGATATGCTTTAAAGTCGGACTTGCTATTAATGGAAAATCAACTTCCATATTTTTTACTTGAGGGACTATACGAGTTAGTTGCCAGTAGGCCTTCCTTCATTGATATTTGTATTAAATTCTTCAGGTTTCGGAAGTTTGCTGGTAGTGTACGTGACAAAAAAAAGTTTAAACATTTCACCGATTTGCAAAGAGCTATTCTAGTGGAAAAGTTCCCGGCACATGAGATTGATCATGAAGATGATGATGTTTATATACCTTGCGCCACAAAGCTACATGAATCAGGAGTGAAATTTAAACTTGCTCCTAGAAGGGAATGCCCACTTGTGATCAGATTTGAAGAAGGCGAGTTGACAATACCAGAATTAATCGTTAACCACGAGACAGATACTAAGTTTCGGAACATAATGGCTTTGGAGCAATGTTGCTATCCAAATCGAACTATCGTCTGTGATTATGTTTTACTACTAGGCTCTCTTATCGAAGACAAAAGGGATGCGCAGTTGCTTGTTGATAAGGAAATTATTTGGAATGAGATGGGCGACAGTAAGGCATTAGCAAATTTGTTTAACAAAATTGCAATTGAAATTCCTTTAGCTGGAAATCATTACAATAAAATTTATCAGGATCTGAGGGCATACCATGATGATCCATATAACCAAAACTGTGCAAAATTGAAAAGAATGTATTTTAGCGATATCTGGAGAGGTACAGCAACTGTTGCAGCTGCTGTTCTCTTGATACTCACTTTTATACAAACCATGTCTTCTGTCATGCGTTAATTTGAATTAGATGTATTAGATTAATTAATTATGTTGCATTTGAAGCTTTGTCGATTTAATAACTAATAATAAAGCCTTTCCATTTATATATTATTCAATTTTCTTGTATGTTTATATGCTTAATCATTTTCCATAATCATCTCTTTTAGTTTTTAAACCACTGTTTTCTATTAAATCAAGAAAAATAACTACACATACAAAGAATCTATATAAAATTTTCATACACAATGACATCTTAAAATATGATTAGATTAATTATATAAATAATCAACTTTAAAAATGCGCATTAAATGATGGTGAATGACAGCAATACTAGGGCTCCATTTGGTTCATTATTAGGTAGTTTTTAGAATAATATTTTGAAAAAAGTTAAATTGGATGGATATTACGATGTAGAATTTTAAAAATTAACAAAAATACCCTCTATGTTTATTTATTTACTAAACACTCCTATAATAAAATATTTAAAGTTAACAAAAACACCCCCAACCCACTCATTAAATACAGACAGCTGGCCACCACCAACGGAGGGTGGCCGGAGTCGTCGTATCGACGCATGACCAGCTGAATCTTATCGGTCGTGCACCAATAGGGCCTTTTTCGACCAGATCTACGGCTAGATCTGGCCATTGGCAGCTAGATCTGGCAGCATTTGATCGTCAACGATGACCATATCTTGGCCATCGTTGACAGTTGTCAATGGCCAAAGATCTGGCTGTTGATGGCCTGATTTTTGGACATAGATTTGGCATTTTTCGGCCATATCCACTGTGAATCTGGCCAGAAAAGGCTAGATCGGTACATTATCGGTCAGATTCAGCCGGTAGTGTGCCATTACACCAGATTCTGGCTAGCTTCCGACAATGGTGGCCGAAATCTGGTAAATTTGGGTTACTGGGGTATTTTTGTCAATTTCTAAAAAAAAAATTTAGGGTTGTTTAGTTAAATTAACAAACTTAGGAGATTTAAAAGAAATTGAATAATTTAGAATTGTATTTTGAAAATAGGTGAACCAAACACTAATTTTGTGTTAACTTTATTGGGAAATAGTTTTCCCATTATATGTACTAAACAGAGCCTAGAGTATTGTCGCATTACTTTTCATGTATGACTTTGTTTGTATGTGTAATATTATTCTTAAATAATCTTAATAAGATAAGAAAAATCTATTACCTTTGGTGAATCAATTGAAGAAGAGGTTTCTATTAATTATTGCTAAATCTAATACAATTCTCTCATCCACCAAGAAAATTTTTACAAGGCTAAACCTATTTCAGTAGGTCAGACTGCCATAATCTTAAAGAATAACATATTTTGATTTGATAATAAAAATTAAATTAAAGATATTTCATATAAAATATATGACCTAATCTAGGTTTAGGATTAACGTAGGATAAGCTAAAAGCTTATGAACTTTATTAAAAAAATTAATGCTAAAAGTTGGTGCAGACACCACCCTGTCAAACATATATTATAGTTAATATATATTTAAAAAAAAAAAAAAAATTCTTCGGTTAATAATTGTTAATTAAATAGGCAACATGTGAACGTCACAACATGTCTACAGCACGGGATTCCTTTCGAGAAGGCAGACGGATCAAATTAGCAAATCCCAAATTAGCTGTTAATCTGCATCCCCAAAGGAAATTTATGTTCAGGATTGCTTAAATAAATTCAATTTTAGGGAGGAATATATATATATATAACAGTAAGTGAGTCTAAATACCATTGTCACTAAATGGAGAAATGAGCGGAGCAAATTTTATCTAATTAATAATTTATAATTAGAAGACAATTTCATGTAACTATTCTATAATATATATTTTTTTTTTATATATTAAAGATTTCATTCGTGATGTGACAATGGAATCTTATTTCATTTTAACATTATAACATAACAATAGTGATTGACTTTTTAATCTTGCTTTTCTAACTTTTGGATTGAAATACATTACAATCTAAGATTATTGCGAATCATTATCCCACTCTAATCCTAATTCTCATTCATTTCCACAAATCAAACAACGTCTAATGCCCTCAATTTTGAATAAATTGAAAGAATATAAATCTTAAAAAAAACAGAAAAAAGAAATCATAATAATAAAAGGTGCTGCTAATGAGAGTGTGTTCCATAATGGTAAACAATTTTATTGTTGAAGCTTTTAAAACTCGGTCTGCCCCGGCCAACTTAACCAGTTCGATCAGGATTTGATGGTCAGACCAAGTCAATTTATGTAAAAAACTGGATTTATTAATTGACCCGTTTTAGATCATGATTGGATCAGTTTTTTGTGACAAATCGTCAGTCCAATCAATTCAACCCGACAGGTAAATCGTATTTTTATTATTTTTTTATATGTCATGTTGATACCAAAATGATATCATCGCGCTGACATCAATATAATGATGTCATAGTTTGACTCCACGATTAAACTGGTTCGATCAACCAGCCCAATGACTTAACCGAGTCACTTTACTATTCGGGTTTTAAAACCTTGTAATTGTTCTTTCTCATCAACATTTAAGTATTATATGCCATCTTGTACGGTAAGATGACGCAATAACTCTGGCGTAATCGCCACCGACTTACTACATAAATTGCCATGTCGTTCAATTTATCCATATTTTTTGCCGCATTACGCATATTTTTTGTCGTATATTCGATGGATTACTAGAGCTAGTTAACCACGTTGCATTGTATTCTAATTCCGAAAATCGATGCAACATATTGCGTCGTCTCGTTTATACAACAACCAATGTTATACCACAAAATTATGGCACATTGTTTCACGTCGTTCAACAATTAATACAACAAATTTTTTTCCAAAATCGATGACCTTGTGGGGTCGTTTTAGATGCTTATTCCAGTAGTGTTAATCATTTAGCCTAATCATCTCTTTGGTGTTTAAACCACTGTTATATATTAAATCAGTCATTAATTTCAATAAAATCCATATTTGGTTGTTAAATCAATCTTAATTAAATAAGAAAAAAAAACTATTGTTGTGAAGTTCCACGTCACTCCGTGTAAGAGAGTGTGTGTATATATAGGGTTATAGCCTTATAGGTCTTAACCCAACATGATACGTTTTGAGCTTGAAGCCCAGAAATAAAACTGTGATGCTTTATAGTGTCAAAGCAAACAATATCATATTGATCTATATATAAAACATTATCAGTAAGATCGCGATGAGGGAGTGTGTTGTAAAGTTTCACATCGCTCCATGTGAGAGGGGGTGCATGCATATATGGGATTATTGGCCGTAACCCAACATGACGCTTTTTGGGCCTAAAGCCCAGAAACAAAACTGTGAGGCCTGGTAGTGTCAAAGCTGACAATATCATATTAAACAATTTATAACATGTTATCAGTATGATCGCGATGGGAGAAGTATGTTGTGAAGTCCCATATCGCTTTGTGTGAGAGGGGGTGCATGCTTTAACCCAACATGATGCGTCTTGGGTCTAAAGCTCAAAAACAAAACCGTGAAACCCTGTAGTACCAAAATGGACAATATCATATTGAGCTATTTATAATAACTATTAACTTTTGTGAAAGTAAGCAAAACTGTCAAAGAATTGTAATTCTACAGGCAACTTGTGGACAATGAGAAGAGGAAGCACGTCCCAGCATGAATGTACAGATAGAAAACAGGGATTAATTCTTAAATTTAATTCCGTTATTTAATTATGCCATCTTATTTAGATTACTTTTATTGGAGAATATAGATTAACTAATTACGAGGAATCTTGATTTACACGACAATGAGGTGCTTAAAATTTCCAATATTGTTATTGGATGGATCAATGTAAGAGGCTTTTTTTAATCAAATATTTTAGAAATAGAAGACAATTTTACCTAACGATTATTTAATAATATAATATGTTAATTAAAATGAGTATGTTAAAATGCCCATCAATGACTCAAGTAGATGACAAATCCTCAAGAATAGCAACAAAGTTCCGTAATTTTATAATTCAATTGCAAGTCCTGACAAATCTGAATGTATAATTTTATTTGGAAGTTAGGCTATCCAATTTCTTGGAATGCACTATATACAGTAACACAATGACGTATTTAAATTGATAATTCTATAATGAAATTTTGTAGAGTAGATATAAATTTAAGTTGGGTCAAAATTATAAATATTATAAAATATAAAACCTTTTTTTTTTTTTTTTTTTTTTGAAGTTTGAGTGAGTTTATTATGAATTTAAGTGGGGTTAAAATATTAAATATTATAAAATATTTTTTTTTTTTTCAAAGTTTGAGTGAGTTCAATTAAACCCATATATTATAGTGCTGTTACGTCCCTGATTACACAATCAAATCAATTCTTGTTGTTTCCACCAAGAAATAAATTGCAAGGTAAACCAATTTCAATAGGTCTTACTACGTTATCTGTGACATATAGCATATTTTGATTTGGGAAATATAAAATAAAAGATAATTCATATTAAATATATGATCTAGTCTAGGCTTTAGGATTGGATATTATATGTTATCGACTGTAGGATAAGTTAATTAAAAGCCTATGAACTCTTGCTAATTAAAATGATTATTAAAAAAATCAATGCTAAGACTTGGTACTGCAGAGACTACGCCATTACCTGGCATTTTAATGTACTCTTGCTAATTAAACATATTTTATTGTTGGTCTTAAATATAACATTTTTCAGGTTTAGGGTTAAGAATTGATAATTACATAGGCAAATATGACTATATGAGCCTATTCCTCTTGAAAACTATAACAGAGAGAGAGAGAGAGAGAGAGAGAGAGAGAGAGAGAGAGGAGGAGAGAGAGAGAGAAACTACAAATGGGATCCTAAATTTAATGTTCATATTAATTATGGTGCTAAACTGGATCAAAGAAGCTCTTAATTTGCATTCTCGAAAATAATCTTATGCTTGGATTGCTTAAATAAATTTATTTTTAAGGAGTAATCTTGATATATGTACGACAACAAACGTTTATAATTTTTCATTGTCACTAAATGGA